TTCTCGACATTTTGCCTCATAGCTCTCACCAGATAGGTTCAATTCAATGTATTATTGTAGTTTCAATCGTTATTAATCATTTTCAATAAATACCAGCCAAGAAATGAGCAAAAAATGATGTTTTGAGTGTAAGAAAATTTCGCTGATTTCTCAGGTTCCCAGAAGAACTACCGAAATCGATAAAAAAAATCTAGCCGTGGTTTCGAACAAACTAATGATGCAAAAGTGCTTGGTTTTTGGTCCTCTAAAACAATCAATCGGAATTTCTCATGTGCAGAAACATGTGTTGCACGGTGTTATTTAATTAGAAAATATTTAATCCAAAAAATTGTTCAAGAAATGAAATTTCATGAAAAAAGAGAACCCGTGTGCAAATAAAATGACTAACAGTCACTCAGTTGTATGTAGCTGTATGTAGTGATACGCAACTAAAACTGGCCAAATTGATTGAAATCATGCGTTTTGTATGGAGATAATCACGTTTAGTTATTCTTTCAGTCAGTGGACTAATTTGGGACATTTTGACTAAGAGTGATTTGTGATTAAAGTTAACTGCAGTTACTTATTTTGACAATCACTTCTAGTCAGTCAAATAGCCACTGAATGTCCCAAATTAATCGACTCGAAAAATTTTCCACACGGGAAGCAATTAAAGCATTGAAAATGAATACTAGTTTTAAGACATATGTAATTGGTCTTCGGGCAGCATATTGACGAAACATTGCACGTGAACAATAATGTCCGTAGATTCGTCAGCTGAATACGATAAATAATAAATAAATAGAAATTAAACATTTTGTCAAATTAACATTTTGTCGCTTATTTTATTAAAACATTTTGTTAAAATAATAAAGGTCATGAAAAACTACTAAGAATGACCGTGATTTCATCAAAGTCAAAACGTGCGACCCAAGAGCTGGGCAAGTTTATCAAGTTCTTCAAGAGACATTGTGCATAGGTATACTCTAACAACCCGAAACAAAGATGAGACTTCCCGTCATATCGTCGTTAGCATCTTCTTTAAATCGATTTCCGTCCATCGTATCAACCGAAATAATATCTTCGGTATCAACAACGAGCTGGGCTGGAATTCTAAGTCATTCCACCAAAATCGTTCGGAATTATTTTTTTCGTACATAAGACCATATTGGAGTGAAAGAGAGAGATTCCACTATTTTTCAGCGTCCCACCGGAATTATTTCTCACACAATCCACTCTTCCTTGAGTTATCGGAATAATTCCGGTGGAACGATGAAAAATAGTGGAATCTCTCTCTTTCACTCCAATATGGTCTTATGTACGAAAAAAATAATTCCGAACGATTTTGGTGGAATGACTTAGAATTCCAGCCCTGATTGTTCTTCGCTCTACTCGTATGCAGCTCTTCGCTGTACGCGAAAACAAATAATAACATATGGTTGAATTTTGTGAATTTCATTGCCTGAATGATTTCAATTCGAGTTCAATGTCAACAAGTCATGAGCCGTTGAAATGATTCAACGTCAGAATGACAATGAATGTGCAATATTTGACTTGATATATCGCGACGACCCCGAAAAAACGGTGATTTCAGCCGACGACAAATGATCGGGTAAAATGTTGAAAAGTCAATGATTCACTGTTGTCGCTTATATCCGATTTGATTATAAATGGTTTCAATGCCAGCCTATTTCGATAGCAAATTTAATTAAATCGATCGTTTTGCGTGCATTTGAAAAATGTGTGCCGATCCGAAAGTGGGAGAGTTTTGGTAATATTCGAAACATTTTCGGTTGATATGTACGTTGATTTCACCGCAAAACTCGTTCCGAGAGATTTGCATGAAAAAAAAAAACAGACGAAAAAAGAAAATTAACAAATTAAATTATAAAATACTTTAGAAAAGTCGTGAATGAGCAAAGGCAAAGGCCCGTTTATTTTTTTTATCTGCATGGAATCGGTTGTTTAGAGTAAGCATAATATGAATTTCAATGGAAAAAAGTAAGCGGCTACAAAAATTCCAACGAAATCATGCTACATATGGTGCTGGCGACGAAGACGACGACAACTACGGAGGCTTTTTTCGATGAGTAAACGCAACAGGGACGCCTTCATTGCCATTATGAACAATTTCGCTTATTTTTTATGCGCTTCATTCCCTTCGAAATAAACATTTACGGGATGATATTTCGCCGTTAAGCCGCCACCCCTTTTTTCGTTTGCTCAACGGTTACGATTTAACTTAAGCCCGTTTTTTTACTCGCTTTCTAACTCTTTCTGCCAATCTTTCTCGGTCTATTCATTGTTTTGAATAAATTTTGGAAATAATCGTACTTAAGCGCACATTCAACCGGCATCGCTTCACCGTGAATATGCGTAAAAATTGTACAAATCATTGACCTGGAAAAAAGCATATTGCAAATCGTTCAGGACTAAAAAAACTCAGAAAGAAGGAGGGGGAGAGACAAAGAGAGAGGAAGAGAGAGTGAGAGAGATGGAGAGACAGAGACCGCAAAGAAAAGTTATCATAAACCACTTAATATTAACGGAAAAAAATACGTGCAGCATATTGCCAGTTAGACTGGGAGAGTGGTCGATGCGACGCGAGCTATCCTCTGGAACAACGGAACCAAATTAGCTCCCATTCTATCATCGCTGTGGAACAATGCATTTACAATGTTCTGCATCGACTGGCATGACACAAAAAAGAAACCAGTGACGCACAAAACCCCGATCGACTCTGCACCACCACCACCATCACCACCAAATTGGAAGTGGAAAGACCCTTTGTCTTTAAGTGCACGTAGTAATAATAATCATACAAGTCAAACGAATACCAACAGCCTCACATCAAATTACATTTCTGCCATGTCACTATTACCCCCTTCGGTTAAATGGATTTTGTTTTTACTTCTTCGTTTTTTTTTCTCTCAGTCTCTTTCTCTCGATGTACATACCGCCGTCATTGCAGAAGAATTTAATGAGAAAAGTTCATTTTCTCCATTTTTCTATTAAAATCGACCAATGAAATGGGAGTTTTAGCGGAAAATGATGGTTTGCTGCGCTTTGAGTATGTTCCGAATCGATATGATTTTGAAGACTTTGCAATGCATGAAATGTAGTATTAAACCTTTTGATTCAAGATCTTGAATTCTGCATTCGAAAATCGAAGGCTTAAAACTATCAAAATGGCTCAGACTTTCATTACATAATAGCGGCATAGCGAATTGAGCCCACAAAAGTTAATCTGCACTGTTTCTTCTAGAAAAAAAACTAGCGGACAACTGCTTAACTCTTTTGACTCCGAATGAAAATGGACGAACTTGATATTGGAGCCACATCAATTTAATTTAAAAATTCAAATTGAAACTAAACGCCAAAGGACATTTAAACCGATATAACCAAATTGTTTGCTGTCAAACTTTGTCTCGCTCACGCCAACTGTCGAACTGACTCGTTCGTGTATGAATGGCTGTTAGCGTAAAAGAGACTTTGTTCGCAGTGGACTCAGTTTAGATGTTCTTTGAAAGAACATCTAAACTACGTCCACTGCAAACAACATCTCATTCTCTCTAACGGCAATTTATACACGAGCAAGTAAGTGTGCACAGTTAGTGAGAGAGGGACAAAGTTTGACAGCAAACAATTTCGTTGTGTCAGTTGAAATGTTCTTTGATGCTATTTTCACTCATTGATTCATCAATAGGAAAGAGATAAAATATGGTCGAGCTGATAAATAACATTAAATTTATTGCAGGTCTTTGAGCCTGAATCTCCGACAAAATGCAATTTAAATGCGATATTTTGACCAAATTCGATAGTTCACTTTTCTTGTTCTTAAATGAAATTCATTGGAGAGGAATGTATTTTTTTTGTCGAATGAAGTGTTTGAATCCAATTCTCTTTGGAATAGCTCATCCAAAATTAAATTGATGAAGAAAGTAAGAAATGAATTAAAGGAAAGAAGTTTTTCTTCTCATTGATTGAAAGAAAAAGAAATCCTAAAATATCATCAGTAAAAATTTCGATTCATATGAATTCCAGTACTTTTCGATTAGTTTCATTACCTCAATGTACAGTTGACTCATATACATATGAGTTAAAAGACATGTGATACAAAAAATATTGTTTTAATTTACAACAACAACAGCCAAAGTTCAAAAGCCGTTCTTTTATTTATTTATTTATTTATTACGAAGCCTCCATTTATGCCAATATGTGTTCCCAGCAAGCTGAGAACATGCTGGTCAGAGACTCAATACGGCATAAATTCCGCCCATGGTGCGTCTTTTGCAAAGAGAATACAGTCAGGGGAGGGATGATATAAAAGTGAGGCTTTTATACCAGAATTGGTTCCGGAAAACCATGGCTTTTGTTTATGTCTAGATGGCATAATTATATTGGCATTTCAGACTAAATCAATTAAATTATTTTAATGGTTCAACTCTATTTGACACTCATAAACACAAAAAGTGTGGATTTTTTTCGCAAATTGAAATGAAAATGATAAAAATGAAATCCAGCCGAAAAAAACATAGTTAGTTGATCGAAAGTTAATTGCGAGCTCATTAAATAAACCAAAAATATTTAGTATTTTATTAACGATGGCACGTTTTATTCCGTTCTCTTTCTCTCTTTCACTGGTTCATGCACTCAATCACTCGGGCCGAAAAAAAATCATAACATCATTAACCACACTGGCATTAACTGTACTATGATGCGATGTGGTTTTTGTGCACAGCCCACGCTCGAATCTCGTTCATTCGAGAGCGAGAAAAAAAACGTATGTGCAATTTATATCTATGGCCAATGGCATCAATGCTAATTGAACTGTAATGATCCGGTTAATGTGCTTTATATCAATTAAATTATTGAAAATTTGTGTGCGCATTTGTTTCGATGTAATTTTCTTTGTGCTCATCACAAATACACATTCAGTTGTCGGTGGAGAGAGAACTGTTTATGGAATAAAACGAAAGGAACGAAATCCATTTTCAGTATACATGAATTCAATCGTCGCGAATGCAAACATAAAATCTATTTGAAGACACATTTGTTGGTTTTGAATAAAATGGAAAAAAGTGCAATTTTTTGTGTATTTCTACTGCTTTTCGGCAGTTGCTTCTATAAGTTTGGATTGGTTGAAGCAAAAGTATGAAATTTGTGAAAACAAAACTCCTTTGCATTTTCGAAGATGGAAGAATTACATGAATTTTCTTGAAAATGAAAAAAAGGAGAATAAAAACTTGTCATTTGTTTTGAAATTTGTAAAAAAATATTGTTTTGTGGAACATGAAATGATTTGCTTTCAATTATTCTAACGAGAATATGCTATTCTTTCCTAATTATTGTTTCACAACTTGAAAGTCGCTATTTTGATTTCGTTTAAAGAAATTCAGTTTTTTTGCTCATAAAATCGAAGTGAATTTCTATTAAAAAAATTCGAATTTTTTAGGCTCGCTTTCATATTATCGGCAAAGGGATGGAATGTTCGACCAATTCGTTGCTGGTGGAGAATAAAACATGCGAAATGACGAAAATCAACGAAACCAATGAAGTGTACAGCATCGATGTTTATTTCAAGGATGGGATTGTGATCAACGAAATCTTTGTAATTTGACTTTTTTTTCTTTTTTTTTTTCAATTAATTCTCATTATTTGAAACGAAAAAAATCTTGTAGGCTCCAAGAGTAGACTTTTTTCGACTTCAAAATTGTCAATGACATTCATGTTCATTTTTTGCGGTTTATCGTGGTTTTTCCCGTTTTTCACAAAATTGAAAAGAGTTAAGGAATTTTTATGTGCCGCACAGCTATTGGGAACCTTGAGTGCTACAACTTTGCCAAAGACACCAAGTCATTATCTCTGATCGTTTTCGTGAAAAACGGGAAAACCGCGATAAACGGCCAAAAATGAACATACTTCTCTATGGCCGTTTCGAACTCGAAATGGAACGAATGATTTACGAAATGGAACGAAGAATTTTCTATAAATAAACGAATGAAAAAAAAAACGATTTTATAAAAATATCGAACGAACGTTCACAGCCTGTCACACGACACTACATTATGTGCCTAAAAATGGGCTAAACTGTCTCAAATCTGTGTTGATGTTTGAATGATATTTTAATGTCTGGTATTATGTGTTCAATTTGCAGTTACAAATGTCATGGATGTATAAAACGGCGAGTGATGCAAATTTCAAGCCATTTTTGGGTTTATCAAACGTAACGATTGACGTGTGCCACTATTTGATAAATGGCAACTCAATGATGGTTGATTTATTTTTGGAAGACGTTAAAAAGCATTCAAATCTCATCCACAGTTGCCCATTCAAGGTAAGATTTGTATTGTTTCGAATTCATTGGATTCAAGTTCTACTTTTGCAACCACTTCGATATGATTTGGAATTGACGCTTTCACCGATTCATATATTCTTTCAATATTTATATATTGACCACATTCCTTCATTTCAATGAAAACATTTTTGATCAACTGTTGATCCTCAATCGTTCCATATAGGGTCATTGCTATGTAAAAGGTCTGGGCGCAAATGTGAGACGATTTCCAGCATTTATACCAAGCGGTCAATATAATATGATGTTAATATTCTATACAAAAACCAATGGAACGGACGATGTTCTAATGAAAGTAAAACTTTACGCCGATGTTAAAACCATGTTCTAGCTCAACAGCTCACCAAACACAACAATTGTTTTTTTTTTTTTGCAATGAATGAATTAAAGCATACTTTTGGTTTTGAAAAAATTGCTATTGTGGCAACCGTTTTTCATTGTTTTTAAGATTTTTTAAAATTTCATTGTGATCTTGATTGTATGATGTGAAAATGGGTTGTTTGCCAAAGGTTCAGTCTATGCGATGGATATGCGTTGATCCCTCACCTCAAAATCCATACAAAGTAGAAATTTGATTTTCAGGTCAATTTCAGGGAGTTGCATGGATTTTGGACAAAGTTTTGACATGACAACAGCCAAGTGCAGTCGTATGTTCTTTTCAAGCTAACGTTTGTTGCTACGAAAATTCACCTCATGCGACCTCCCTCGGATATTTGCTTGATAATTGTTGCACTGTATTCTACGGCATATTTCCTAAAATGTTTGAAAACGTAAAACGAAGAATTTGGCAAAATTTGACTGAAAATGAAACCGAACGAAAAGGCGAACTCGAAATGGAATGAAATTGATGGCATCAATGACCGTCGTCAGCGTATAAAGAAAAGAAAAGAAAGAAGCGAAAAAAAATAAACCATCCACCTATATATTGAGCTCTAATCCCAGCAATTCCACTTTGAATGTGTATTATCTGCTGATTATTATTCGTGACACATTCTTGTCGTGTAATCGTGTGCTCATGCGCATCGTCAACGGCGCCATAAATACATTGTTCGAGGAGAGCTGTTCGCCCCAGCCCTCTCACTGCCATATCCGCCTCGGTGTTGATGGACGAATATTAGCAGGCAGCGCAGTTCCAGGAGGATTGCATTGTAAAATGAGTCGAGATGGAACATGCAACGAGATACAAGAGTTTGGCCAACACACATCTACACCATAATTGACGGTGGTTTCATGCGACATTTCCAACGCGAACAAAACGACCACAATGACGAAGTAGAAGAGAAAAAAAAGCGAAATGTAAGTTTTCTTTCTTGCAAGATTTCATTTTACGTGAAACTGCACGCATAAAATATGACGAGCAACAGTGAGCGAAAGAAATTACACGGGCAATAAGCGCACACTGCGAAGCGCATTTGTTTCGCACTCGTGTTCGTGTGCACATCCATTTCGAGCAGGGATATGCTTGTTCCTCTTTCATGCACACACACACACACACACGTAGAGTTTCTTCTTTTTCCGTTTCTCTTCATTTATAATATGCCATCGGACCTAATGTTGTTCTTTCATTTATTGTTTGACATCGACTTTTCTCATTTCGTACACTTGTCGCGGATATTATACACTTGTATCATTCTCTCTCTCTCTCTCTCGGAATCTGTGCATGGTTATGTCGCGCGCTCTATGTATGCGCTTTTATCGCCAAATGGACACAAGACTTACAGCCAACATCCTTTAATTTGAAAACCATTCCGTTTCATGGTTCACCCATTCCACTATGCACGCACGCTCGCTCTACTCTCCGTTCAAACGCTTTTTTCCGTTGGCATTGCCGTCATTGTCGTCTTCTTTCTATCTCACAACACATTCATTGTCGTTCTTTCTTTTTCGGATTTGGTGTCCACTTTGTGCGTTTCATTCTCATTCTTTTTTGGTGTCGTCGTCGTTGTCGCTCTTCCAGCCATTTTTACATTCAGATGATTTTGAATGCTTTTGTTGCTCTTTTCTTCGCTTTCTCGTTCTCTATTTATTGCGCGCTTTTTTCATTTTTCCTTCTCTTGTGCTCTGGCACATCATATCTTTCTTGCTTTCTTTCGCTCTCTTCTGCTGTCTCGTCCGTTTAATCGAAATCGTGATACTCAATTGCGAGATACCGTATATGAAACAGTAAATAAATTCATCCAAGATTTTGGTCGCAGATCACGTATATCGGACCGAACGTATGAATGAAGAAAAAATGTAGCGATAAAAGTTTTTTTCTCTATTCACAGAAGAAAAAAGAGTGAGTGAGAGTTCGCATTCTCTATCGCAAAACTCTCCTCAGCACATATCAATTCGGTCGAGTGAAAAACTGCGCTGCAAATACACACACACACACACACACATAATACGTTTTTGGCATTTCATGTGTCCGTATGATGGCTATCACACAATAAATGTCCTTATTTCTATCATCTCCTTTCGTTCTTACTCCCTCTACTTCTCTCTGTCCCTTTCTCTCTCCCTCTGCTTCGTTTTCTCTGTGTGTCTCATTCTCTCTAGATTTTATTATAACTCTGGCAGATGATTGATAAAGCATACAAAATCTAATCGGACATTTTTATAGGCCTGCCACAGGTCAGCTTTTGAGCTGATTATCAGCTTTTTGAAAATCTTCAGCTATTTCGGTCAAAGTTCAGTTTAAAAAAAAAATAATGAGAGAACTAATACAAATGATACGAAACGCGTTTTTAGACAGCTCTAGAGCAATGGAAAAGTAAACATTTTTTTCTTATGAAGACGATATTAACTCAATCAAATTCTGAATCATTGGCATTTGGCACTGTGCTATGATACAGTGTCATTCTTTCAATTTATCTGAAACGCATTGATCAGCATATTTACGAATCAATGTAAATAAGAAATTATCGTTTTTGTTATTGCTTCGATTTGGCATGACAACACTTTATAGATCATGTTTATAAATCGATGTAAAGAGGCAATTGCGAAACTGATAAAAAGAAATTACCGTTTTGTCATTCTCCAATTCGGCGAACACTTGCTAGATGTGAAAATGAGTGCACAAGCATTTTTTGGCTCAAGTGGTAGCTTCAAATATCAAAAATTTAATAATGCAACAATCAGTTCACATTCGATTTTGGCACGAGTCACATTTCCATTCAAATAAAACAAGTACATTTCTATTGTGAAATAAAAATGTCATGCACAGTTCATAATGATTGTTTCAATTTGGAATTCGAAATGAAAGTTATGATTCGACTAAAAACACTATAAAAAAAACCTAGGGGGGAGACACGAAACTTAAATGAGTAAAATTAGAACATTATTCAACGATAATAGGAAAAATAGGAGAAATTAGTGAGTTTGGTTTGCCAATGTTAACGCTTATGGACGTATTGTTTATTGTTTACAAAATGGTCCTGTTAGGTCTTCCATAAGCGTTGTATTCACAGTGTAATACGCTCTGCAAGCGATTTTACTAGAAATAATAGCACAATATTAGCACTTTTGCACCAAAACTAGAAAAATTAGAGAAGATAAAGCAAAAAATATATAAAATTGAATGTAACTAGACTCTAATAGAATTCGTGTCTCGCCCCTAGAAAAAAACTATTTTTATAACTGCTCCTTTGATTTTGCCATATTAATTTCATCAGCTTTTTGCTTGCTTTTTCAAACTGGTAATATACGCTTTTTAAAAGAAAAAAATGTGTGGCAGGCCTGTTTATATCATTTGAAAATTAAAAATTTGAGTAGTGAATTAGCACACATGTGTACGAGAGTGTCGGAATTGTATGCGTTTTTTATTTCTTTTTCTTCTTTCTCTCATTATATATTTCTATCACTTTCTCTTTCTTTCCCGATAAAACCAACAAAACATCCAACACAGATCATCCACGCACACAATGACAAAGAAAATTGAACAAATGACGCCAACTAAATGAACAAATAAAACCAGTAAAAAGAGAAGCGCACACAGATCAAAATGACAGAAGAAAAACAAAACTCATATAAAATTGTGTGCAAACGAGAGCAACGAACAAGTAGCAGAAGCAGCGGCAGCATCAGCAGCAAAAAAGCAAACTTTTTCCCAAACAACCATTTCCCATTTATGATTGCTCGAGCATGGCAATATTAATGGCTCAAAATGGAAACACGTATACGCACACAATTCCCAAAAAATAAATATTATTTTTCATGTCATTTGGTTTATTTGTTTATTGTCTTGTTCGAAATGTGATGATTGCAAAAAGTATATCGCATAGATAAATGCGCGCATATAATTTAATGTATGCCCAAATGTTGTGTGTATGTTTCTGTTTGAATATATCTACACACACACACACACACACACACACACACACACACACACACACACA